GACATCCCATTAGATGACCTCGGTGACTAAGATTGATTTTAAACCTGTTTCTAGGTGGGGTTAACATAGTCACTACAACAACAACAACGACAACAACAACAACAACAACAACAACAACAACAAAAAAGAGCAAATATGTGTAGCAATACTTTATTAGTTTTAGATATGTGGGTTACATATGCTGAATTATTTCTTCAGTACTCACGAAGCATTTACATTTAGGCAACTCCAACAATAACTCTGTTAAACTGGCATGTCTCTGGAAAATTATAAAATTTCATTATCCCTTGGAAGAAGAAGTTTAATGCAGGTAGGCAGAGGGCTGCCGAAGTGAAAACAATGGGTTTCTTAGGCTGGAACTTCGTCTTGCTGTTGATTCACATTCATTCAACAATAAACCTCAGTAAAAGGTCATTCCTTGCCACAAGAACATACAGAGAACCCGTTCACATAGTCCAGTTCTACTATTGATTCTAACAACTTATGAAACATCTTCTAAAGGTAGTTCCTTGCCTTTATCCGGCACATCGTCTTATCAAGTGAGGTCAGGAGATGTTCCTTTATTAATTTATTTTCTCTTCTAAGTCCATTTGATTTGTGGTATCCCTTCATTTAAGAAATTTATATACCAGAAATGTAAGTGAGGAAGGAGAGTATGTTCAGTTAAGTCATCTCCAAATCAGATCTCTGACAACTCAATACAAACTTACTGTTCATCCCGATTGAACTAAGAACTAAGAGCACTTACTGTTGTAATTTACAAAAAAAAAAATAATAATCTGAACAACTCGTGTCTTAACTTGTGTATTTAGCTATCATGGGTGTAGAAAGCTCGGCATGAAACAGACTGGATAGTCGAGCAGCGAGAGAAGATCCCAGCGCATGTCCTCTCTTCAAGCTATGAGTTAGCTTTCGGTGAGTGTGATATAAGCTCTGATCCATTCGAATGACCTGTCTTCCACGATGTAAGATGGAAGCCATTTCATATAGCTTAACCAAATATTTTCTGCACTGAACCTCTTGTCCAGAATAACAGCTGCATACCGGATATACTGATGATCTAGTTCCCGTTATTCTAAACTTTTTAGTTGAAAGAACAAATTCGATTTTCTCTGAGTTTACACAGAGTTTTCAGCGAATGACTCATTATATTATCCTGTATAGAATCTCCTGCATCTCTTCACTATAAGCTGCTTGAATTTCTTTTTTCATTACATACATATATATAAGTATTAGTGCTTTATAACCGATTTTCGGCCGAGCTCCAATTTGTGGTTTTGCGTCTTGATGGTTTTCCAACAAAGTTTATATTAAGCGGCTACCAAACAGCTGATGGTTTTTTTTTTTTTTTTTTTTTTTTTTTTTTTTTGATGTGCCTTAGGAAGATGTCTGGTCTGAGAGATCTCGAACCCTTGACGCGGTCGCCTAAAAATGCTTTTAAATATAATTCTGTAATACTCGGCTAGCTTAAAAAACATATATTATATATTAACGGTTCCCATCACTAAAATTTCGTTTTGAACTTCGAATTCAATTATACACGTACTCATTCATATTCAACTCAATTCTTATCAGCCGTTTACAAGAACGGTTACACAAATATTTTTTTTTTATGTTAATAATTGGCAACTCTTTCTCAGAGCAAACTGCCTCCTACAAAAGACGTAGGCGAGAATATTTTTTCTAAATTAATTATGAATTTTTTATCACCAAATGAAAAAGTATATGTATAAAACCCATCGAACAATTTACGCATAAGTTAAATAATACGTAGAAACGAGCAAAACTTCGGCGTCGCACGGGTGGTATGAGTAACATTTAACTTAGCAAATTGAAAGAAAGTGTAGTAATTTGAACCAAAAGTTACACATGCAAACGTGAGTATATGCGTAATTCACATTTAAACATGCAACCACATATTTTAGCAGCTATTTATATAATTATGTCGATATTCACACAGACCATAAAAGTCAGCAAACTAAAAAGTTGCGTATACGCACTGTTGACTTTCGATGCAGAAATAAAATTAGCAAAAAAATTTTGCAAAAAGTTTTCGAAACAAAATAAAAGCAATATGAGCATATGAGCTAACACACTCACACACACAAATAAACAAGGAACTACTACCACCACAATTTCTACCACTTAAAACTATGCCAGCAACACTTAAAGTGCAGTAAAAAGCGTCGCGTTGCCATAAAAATTATTTCAACATATGCGTCGCTTACACTCGCACGTACATAACTACATGTCTTCATGTACATATATATAGTAATAAAGTCGTAAAATTACACAATATAACACACTGAGTGCTGAAATTATTATATCATTAAATTTTTTTTCTTTTTTTTCTATTTTTGCATTACTATTTCTGTTGCTGTAATTTGTATAAAATAATCACAAAGTTTTCAGTGACAGCAGAGAGAGAGAGTCGTAGTGGTAGTATTAGTAGTGGTGGTGGTGGTGAATTCAGTGTAGCAATAGAAAAGTTTGGCGACAGTTTGGCAAACCACAGACAAATATGTTGGCAAATACAGATAAGCTCATGCACACATACATGAACATACGCGTATATATACAAAAATATATAGATTCATATTAAAAGTGATAAAGTAAAATTTAGCGTGAATTTCACATGAGATTTTGCTACTTTTGTAATTGTTTTTTTTTTTGGAATTATTTAACATGTTGAGTGGACCTTAAATTTAGTATATGGTGAAGAATTTTCTTTTTATAGAAAACATTTTAGTTTTAATATCACAAACTTTATTTTTCATTATGGCAAATGTAAAATTATTTGAAAAACTTTTCATTAATATTTTTTAATTATTTCACGCATTGTTGTTGGAATTCTGTTTAACTTTTGATAGTAAAAAACAACTAGTGGAGTATGTCAGTTTTGCAGTGGAAAAAGATTTTCCCTATAAATTAATTTTGATAAACCGCTTTTTAAAACGATTGGAAAATTTGTGTATGATTCAGATGCTGATAGTACGAAAAGAAAATCAATCTAAGTCTAAATAAATCTGTAAGTTTGTTTCTTGTATTCCCATAGACCATTTACTCGACAATTTAGCGCGACCAGAACTTGCCTTGCAAGAAATTTCAATGAGAAAGAAATTGTATTATTCATACAGAAATATTAAAAATACAGTGAGCTATTCCTCTCTCAATAGGAGACAATTGATTTCTCTTTCCCGAGAGAAGCTCTTTTGAAAGGCAAACATCTAGAAAAAATCGAAAAAAATATTTGTACCCTTATTCATTGCTGCCGTCAATGCCAAGAGTTGAAACCTCTCTCCTTATTCTAGTCTAGTTTTTCTAACTTAACGGTGTTTATGAGAGTAGCGTAAATCCTTGCATAACTTTGTGCACTGACAATTTGCTCCTTGCTTAGACCTCAATAAATACATTAAACATTCTCCGCCAACCGCATAGACATATGCAGTTTTTATATGGCGAAGGTCACTAGAAAGAGTTACGAGCATTGAAAAGAGTTTTCCTCAATATCTGTAGTACTTGCTGAACTATTGCTGACCTGCAGCTAAACGGCAAGTGTTGTAGAATAATCCCTGCGTAAACAGCATATAGGTCTTACGCTGCAAAAGTCGTCGCTCTAAACTCCAAGAGTCTGGCCCTTTGGACACCTTAAACGTGGTAACTCTGCTGTACTTGATTTCATTCTAGGTGACTGAAGGGGGACATCACCCGAAGGTCAAGGGTACTTAACTTCTTTACCGAAGGATCGCAGCTTAAATCAAAGGTCAGCGCAGATATCTTCTATCAAAAAATATCGAAAGGTATACCTTTCCAGTCTATTGCAATGCTTCGCAGTTGGAGATTTGCTGGCTAACACACTACACCGACAGTTGGTTTCTGTGAGATAGGACACTATAGTTACTCAGTTATCCAAATGGTCATTACGACTTCTGATTTACTAATGGTGAACTCCTATATGAGGAAGAAATGATTGGCATCACTATATACGTGGCTTCCACTTATTTGAAGATTAAAATCAGTTGGACATCATGTCGCAACGTAATTGCTTGAAACAGTAATACTAATGAACTTGAGCGTTTCTCTAATACCTTATAAAGCGTAACTAGACGATCTTCTGCCAACATGCGGTCTAGTCCCTCATAGATGGGCGTTGAAACAACTCAGCGGTTGCGAGATCCTTCTACCCCAAAATGAATCGCTGCATATCTAGGAAGCTCTCTTCCATGCAAAGCTTAAAAATGTCATACACTGTGGAAATCTGACAAGGTTTTTTCCGCAGAGCACTCATTCTGTCTGCATTCTCTTAAGAACTGCCGAGCAATAGTGAGGCTGGAACTGAAAAAGCTCGTTTCGCATACATTTACCACGTCGGAAGAGTTAATAAATATTAGGATTGATCGTATTTGACCTGGCGTTCAGCATATTTCTACTCTTTATGCCAATGTGGGATTATTTTGGGATCAGCCACTTCTACCTAACCAAAACCCAGTTTGTTCAACAGGAGCTCAGATCAAAGATTTTGATTAAATTTTGTTGGACTTAAGACTAATTAATCAGACCACATTAGGCGAGCTGCTAGCACGGCCAGGTCCGAAACCTGGTTTGACTAACATCCAAAATAGTAGAAAATTAGTTTTTCCCATTACGTTCGCCCCTCGACAGGGGGTGTCAAGGACTTCCAGTTTATTGCTGACATGAAAGCTAGAGCTTCTCATAAAAATTCAGCAGCTAAGAATATGTATACTGTAAGCGCCTCGATTTGTTAATCGACATTTGAATTAGAAAACTATTTCGCTTGAGTAACAGTATAAAGATTCAAAGCGAAAGGATTATGCAAACGTAACAGAACGCAAATAACATTTTAATATACATATGAAATATTAATTTTTTTATAAAAATTTTATCCAAGATTTATCAATTATAATTTTCAATATCTTCACCACACTCTCTCCCCATCTGTTTCCATTACTTTCATCTACATTTATATTCTTCTCTTACAGTGCGTCTGCCGCTTTGACCGCCAAGGTGCACTGTGCGAGTTACCCATCATCATCAAGAATGCGGCCTTCTCCGGCGATTCATATGTCTCGCACCGCATCCACAAGGACATACCACATCATGAGTCATTGGATTCGGTGCTGCCGATGCATGTACAATTGAAGGTGCGCACACGCGCCACAAACGGTCTGATAATGCTGGCCGCCGCCCAGGGCACCAAAGGCGGTCACTACATGGCATTGTTCCTGCAGAAGGGTCTCTTACAATTCCAATTTTCATGCGGTTTACAAACAATGTTGTTGAGCGAGCTGGAGACACCGGTGAATACGGGCAATGAGATAACCATAAGAGCAGAGTAAGTGCAAATATGAAAGATTTTGCTTTCAAAATTCTATTAGTAAATTAAATTTAAAATTTTATAATATAATTATAATGATAAAAACTTGTATAAAAAATTTGTCACTTCTTACAAAAGAAATTTCGTAATTTGTAATGTGTTCAATATGGTACCATAGCAGCTTCTCCCCACCAGTATAGTCGAATCAGTCTTAGGGCATCTACCAACTGTCAGGGACTACTCAACGCAACGTCTTCGTTATTACCAAACCTACTTCAATTTGAGACATGATAAATTGGAACCCCTTTCTCCTGCTCAGCAGAAGCTGTACCTCACCTTTATCGAGTTGTCCTCTCAGATAGTGGCCTCTCGAAATGTTTCCAATTGAAGTGATATTTTCTTCTTACAGCGAAAATACGTCCACTCGATCAAGTTTGCTTAGATTTCCAAAAAGTCATATTTTGTTCCAATCACAACGTAGCAGTCTGTATAAGACAAAAGCCCCAATCATGCGTTCTATACTTAGACAAATGCTTCGTTGGTGCATCTACCTCGAAGCTCCCCTCTATGGCTATGTTAGTTCAAGCATCTCTATTTCTAAATTTGTCTTCTAATCAGATGTTTGAAAATATGATCCATGGACTGATCTCGAATGAGTTCTCCGCCTGCTTTCGTCATATTAGTAGCTACTTCTAAAGTCCTCCAGAACTGTATTCACGTCTAGCCCCTTAAAGGCAGATTTTCTGTCTTCTGTTTGTGTGTTGATGACTATATGAAAATGACGCAATAAAATGAGCGAATAAAGAAAAAGGCTTGGTTCCGAGAAACGAGAAATAGAGAAATTATTGGCCTCTCGAAAATATAACTATTTCGATATTTCGAAGTTTTAATCTATCAATAATAAAGCTATTAACCACTTAATCAGAAACGTAAGTAAAAATATTGCCTACCTTTAGGCGCAAAATTTGATAAATAGCTCAAAAAAACTATGACAAACATTTTAGGGTAGGTTTTACTAGTACGAACAGCCGCAGTGGCCGCGTAATTAGTTGTGTGTACAACCATGCTAAGGGTCATAAGTTCGTACACTGGTTAGACCAACATACAATACAAACTTATAGAAAATAACTGTCACATCACAGTTGACTCTTAACAGGCTATTTCAACCCCTTCGAAATGCTCCTCAACTCCATTCAAAGCCAGCTTAACATTACCCGTAAATAGATGTTTAATGGAAAAACATCAAGACACACATAACCAATTACGAAAAGAGCTCATCCCAAAAACTCTTGAGCGGTTTGAAAGCACCTACTCTGTATATATATTTCAAAATTCAACAAATTTATCAACTTCGTAGCCAAAATATTCTGGAGCCTATACCTCAAACATATTCAAGCACAGAAATCTACAGCGACCTTTTGAATAATTCAGCCGGATAACCATAGTGGCACTTCGTAACCAAACAATGTAAATCAGTAAACCGACTATCTGGGAAAACACTTATACTAATAAGCACAAACACAAGCGTAAATGCATCCACACACTTTGATATCAATATTTACATGTATGAACGTATGCAACCAAATAACAAAGCCACAGAGGAAGGGCCAAAGAGTCAAAGCCAATGCCAAAGCCAAAGCCAAAGGAAATCAAACCGAATAACCGACTAAAGACCATTCAGAAGACAAATCAATGTAAATACTCAGTGGTCGTACAATTATTCCGTAGAATGACAACAACAATAACAACAGCAAATAATAGCAATAACAATGAAAACTAAGTAGTAAAGGTGGGCACGAGCAAAGGCAAAGACGAAAGACGAAAGGCGAAAAGCAAAAGCAAAAGCTACCAGAACGTCTCCTCCACTGAACGACAATTGTTATCGCGCTATAATTATCGTAATTGCGTGTGCACACACAAATGCATTCACATTCACATCGCATCTATAGAGTGTTTTCTACAAGGGTTAGGGAGAATGAATGACAGCCAAGTGTTTAGTTGAGTGATTGAGGTAAAGACGTTGGGGAGTCCATGGCTTTGCGAGAGGTCGATAGGAAACGTTGCTGAAGGACAACGATTTGGCGTGAAAGCTCATTAAGGCTAAAAGCGGTAATTTCATGAGAATGCCCTTCCGCCTAAAGCACATATTTACATCTAGCTTAGTTGTATGTAGGTAAGACATTTTGGTATGAAAGCAAATTTTCCGGGGAGAAAGTTTGAAGGAAAGGTTTACTATTTTAGCCCGTGGGGGCATTTATTTTTAATTTTTTTATATTTATTTTATTTATTTTTTTTGTTTTTTTTTTTTGTTTGAGCTTAATACTGTATGCCTTATGCCATGCCTTTGACTAAATAAGTTGCTGTGTTTGGTATTTGCATTTTATTATTTTCTACAGCTTACGTTCTTATATACATACCTACATACATCACTTTTTTCGGTATTTCGGTGAAATAGTCTCTGGAGAGCAATAAATGTGTGCTGTTTTGTTGCTTACTAGTTTTATTCATTCTTATACTTAAGCCCACTAAGCAGTTGGTAAGACATAAAAAATATACACTCATGGACTCCCATGCATATATATTCGTGTGTATTTCGTTATCTATGTGACTTAATGCATACACATGGTACTCAGAACGTGTGCATGTCTTCTTATTTGCTCATATATATCGCCTCTAACTGAATGGCCCTAATATGCCGTCTGCCATTATTATCGATGAGTAAGTAGCATTAGTTTAGGCAAAATGGTCAAGTGTGCCTTTAAGCTGAAATATTTGAGTTGTGTACTCAAGTAATGCACTACAAATGCTTATTATCTCTCATATTTGATATACATAAATACACATGGAAGCTGATATGTATTTAAACATTTGATGTTGGTTTATTATGAGCGCCTCAGCAAAAATTATGTAGAACTTGATATCTACTTTGTGGAAAAGATTTAAAAATATAATAATATTCCTCTGTATTCTGTTTGATAATATCAGGCAACACACACACAAAACTCCTTGGGGGTTGTATTGTCTTAATTAATTCATTTTATTTGATTCTATTTCAAATTATTTTATTTGATTTTAATTTATTTTATTTTATTTTAAATTATTTTATTTTAATTTATTTTATTTTATTTTTATTTATTTTATTTTATTTTATTTTATTTTATTTTATTTTATTTAATTTAATTTAATTTAATTTAATTTAATTTAATTTAATTCAATTTTATTTTATTTTATTTTATTTTATTTTATTTTTTTTATTTTATTTTTTTTTTATTTCATTTTAGTTTATTTTTTTTTTATACTAATTTTACAAATTTATTTTCATATTTTTATGTATAAAAGAATGTTGAATAAAAATAATTCCCTTCTAGACCATGGCATCAAATCCCGATTACTCACACTTCTATGTTTATGTTTTGTATAAGTACCGTGAAAATATATGAACACATCGATGTTCAATCCCGCCTAAATACCGGTCAACGCGTTTCGCACGAAATGCACATTAATAAAAGAAGTGCTTGCAAATAATACTGCAAACATAAAAATATGTGCTCAAATACATATATACATATACAAATGGTATTTTGGTTTGGTGTTCATAGCCCATAAATATATACATTATATATACATATGCACACATATGTCAGCCATTACCCCTACAACTACTATTTTTACTACTATTACTACACTTTTTACGCACTTATCCTCACTTTTGCACCCTAAAATCTCCTTTATTCGCCTAATTTCCGACATTATGGTACTTTTTGCTATATATAAATATACATACATTGCTTCACATAAACAGCTTTATGCGTATCCGTATGTAGTCTCACTCATTCAATATATCATTTGTGGCTCCTTTTGCTCTTTGATCCTTCTTTTTTTTTGGTCATGGCCAACAACAGAGCATTTATAATATCTATGTATGTGTATGTGTATGTGCGTAGAAAGTTGGCTTATTGCACTTGACCGGCACTTGGTTGTTGGTCAGAAGTGAAAGTGGTTTCTCGAGTGGTTAAATCAATAAAATCATAAAAACGTGCAGACATTCTAACAGAAACTCACATAAACATATTAATATGTATGTGCGTATTTATTATATGCTGGATATTTGAAGAGATATTACATACTTGTGATTGCAATGAAAAATGTTCGCATTATTATGAAATTACAAGAGATATATTACACACAAATGTATGTATACATGTGTGTGTGAGCTTTTTTGTGAGCTATTAAATGTTCTGTCCAGCTGAAGCTATGCTAAAATACCAAAGCCTCTGAAATGTGCTAGCATACGTAAGTTATTTATGAATTTATTTAATTTAAATATTTTAATACAATAAATATTAGATAGTGCCCTGGTTTATTGCAGTATTAAATACTCGTTTCCAAGTGTACGAGTATATAGAAATACATATATTTGTACTAATCACTTTTCAATTAATTTTTTTTTTTTATAAATAGTTATGTTATGCAATACTGTATAATGCCACTTGCATTTAAATAACAGCTACAAATTAATTACAAAATTGTTTCTCTATTTTTATTCACTTTTGTAATAGTTTTGCACAAAAATTTTAATTGAAATATTTTATTGTTATCTTTTTTCCTGAGGATTCAATTAGTGCAGGAGTTAAGTTTCAATGAAAAACAAAATAATATTATTTTATACTTTTTATGAGCATTTATACTATTCTAGTATAGATTCCATTTTAATTTAATTGTATTATTTTCATACAGATTATAGTGAGTTTGCTGCTGGTTTTTTGGGTCTTAATTTTAGTGCAAATTTTATGTAAAAAATTATTTAAAAAATTAACGTCTTCTTACTTTTATGATCTAGTAAAAAGTAAACCACTATTTTTGCCTTATTAACCATCACTAGAAGTATTCGATTTATATCAAAACCTACGTCGTTTCACAACCTTTCTTTTTGAGATCAATTCCTCAACAGCTAAATCATTCGCCATAGGTAATCCCTCTGCGGACTATAAGGTGGATTCATAGCAACTTCCCTCCTTGCGAGTTTTTATCGAAGTTTATGGTCTGCCTGTGATCCCTGATGAAACACAGTTCCCCTTCTGTTTGCTAAAGCTGAGTGCTTTTAGGTGATTACTTCCTCCAGACGACTCAGTTGCTGAAAGTACAGGTCTGCATTAACAGCTTGGCCAAGGGGGGAGCAGCCCACTCCTTTCCACTCTGACCAAACACACAACAAAACCTTCCTACAAGTCAATCCTGGTTTGGAGACTGTTTGTGCCTTTACTGCTTTTCGACCAAAAGTAGCGGCTGCGATTCGCAGTTGGATATTCGGTCTACGAGGTGTTTTCTCTTTTACTTATATGCCATACATCGAGCTCCTATTTCAAATGATTCCGAACTGTTTTTTGTGCAATATCCGGTACAGTACAATCGAAAAAGTACCCGCTTGATGGGCAGACGGGAACCATGCCGTGGAGCATCTTTTACTTTGCAGTTGCTGGAACGAGATCGAGAAACTTTGATCAAGCGCACTTGAGCCTGTGAGAAGTTCACAAGATTGCTACCGTACTAAAGGCTGGGAAATGAAAGAGATTGTAAATGCTCTACTCAATTGTGCCCTTCTGAGGCCCTGCAACTGTGACAACAGTGGTTAGAGAAGTAGCCCAACTTTCTGCCACGCGGTCAGACATTGACCAGATATTATGCCGTTCTGGAGGTTCTTTTTAGGAGATCTTGAGACTTTGTTGCCTTCAAAAAATGTTTCATTTCAAAATTTCCCTTATCTTCTACCAATTCTGAGATGGTGGGCGACTTGGCAGTCAGAAAAGATTGTGAAAGTTATGAGTTATCACTGTAAGTTTAAGTTACCCCAAATTGGCTTCCGTTATTGCAGTTAGTTCCCATTGAAAGACGCTGCAGTGGTCAGGAAGTCTCCTGCTAATTTCTGTTGCGAGAGGGAAAGAATGGATTGCACAGCCCCCGCTACCACTCAGGTTGAAGTCATCTGAACTTAAACTTGCTGATAAAAGTAACTTTATCGCTATGCCAGCCACCAGACTGTGAGTCCAACCCATATATGGTCTTCTTTTTTATTATGGTGGACACCTACATCATCACGTCATTTGTTTCTTCTCTTAGCGGTTTGATGCAAATAGGAAACACTAAGTGATGCCAGGTCCTTAAACACCTGATCTTCTCAACGGAGTTGAGGCCTTACTCTTTTTCTGCTACCATCGACGGGTACTTCGCTGAATACTTTCAGAGCTGGAGAGCATATAATCTAACCAGTTTAGAATCTTCATACACGTTTTTTATCAAACGCCGACTTGTAGGCATATAATGCAATCTCTATTCTTTTCTATATTATTTCGGCTCGGATGTCAAAGTTTCTGCCAAGGCTTTGACCTACAAAATATACATTTGATCCAACAGGAGCTATAAGAATGATATAATTGGGTTATACTTCAGAGTCCAATAAAGAAGGTAGTATAAAAAACCAGACAAAATAGCCAAAGCACACTGAGAAATGGCTTATGGAGGGCATCGGAACTAAATTCTTCTCACACTCGGAGGACATCTCTAAAACCTTCCAGGTCTTGATATAGTTATTTAACTCAAAAAGATGTATATTGGCAACTTCTGCTATATCGTTACGATATTAGGAAGGAAATCACCCTTTGATGCAGCTGCTTGTCACCACCAGCAAACTTAAGTCAATTGTGATACCGCTGTGAGGCCTCTGCCTTCACATTCTCAAATGATCGAGCTATTTCATGTGTCTTAGAGAAACAGCTAGATTTCCAATACCGGTTGAGCCTAGCTTAGCGAAACAGTCGACGAAGTATTTTCCGAGGAATTCGTGTAGCGCAGATGACAGTGCTGGACAGGGACAGAGGTAGTGCTCGATAGACTCCTCCTCTTTCTCGTCTCTACAGCTACGGCAAAAATCATTAGAATGATATCGCATAATTTTCATGTGAGACGGCATTAAATAATAACCCGTTATTATGGCTGTCGTTACCCTGCGGAGGAAAACCAACTGGTATGCAAAAATTCTTGTTAAATACTAGTATGTTGAAGACGAAATCATACCAGTTCGTAATTTGCAAAGAAGTCCACCAGTAATGGGAGAAATGACAATTTCCACCACTGTTTGTTGTTGTTATATCAGCAGACGGCGGCTAAATCTCATTCTCGGCTCTGTTATATTGAAGTGCGCAAAATTGGATGATCATTGCGTCGTCATGACAGCCGAGTGGTAAGAGATTGTCTCTATTTTCTAAAAAGTACTGTTCAAGTGCGCAGATTTCGTTCCTCCGTATATCATAGCGATAGACTGATGCCTAAATGAACTAGTATTAAACTAGTATGAAGCTGATGCATAGAGGGATAATTGTCAGCTCGTAGGACATCACCGTGTTAAAAATTCCAGTTGCTTGCTTGGAAAATGGATGAAGATGAGCTAGTTGGTGTAAGAATGTAGACTAATTGAATTGTATTTAGTGGACAACTAGTATTTTTCCCTGCAGGGTATGTTCACGAAGAATCAGTCTAGCAGGATAAAATGGTTAGATTTTTTTTTCGCCCAATTGACAGCCGAAGAAATATCAAAAGTAAAGTGAAGTATAATATTATATTAGAACCCAGATAAAATATTTGTGTCTGATTTTCATTGAAACTTTCTTACGCGAAAGTTGAATCTACTACAAAATTTGAGAATTTCTGAAAGTAAAAACGTAAAGAGCGAAGTAAATTTGAAACAAAACCAACAATAACTTGAATAAAATCCACAAATAACCTGCATTTGCCTGACTTTCAAAATTAATTTTCTTAATGTAAAAACCCAACACAAAACTAATGTTTTATCAACAACAAAAAAAGTCAGAAGAAAGACATGGAAACACGAATTCCCAATGCCAAATTTAGCAATTGTCAATGGTCATAGAGAAATACATCAATAGGAAAACTTTCGGACAACACTGCACGCTTTTCCAACTGATTGAACAATTGAAAGCTTGGAGAAGTACAAAATACCGAACAGTGAGAGAGAGAGAGAGAGAGAGAACAGAAGCAGAGAAGAACACAGAAACCAATGTAACATTAGACAGATTAAAATGCAACAAATGCAAGTGCATTGAAGAGGCAAGTTTATTGCTAAAAATTAATGCATACACACGTACATATAATATGTACATACATACAATACAATTGTAAAGGGTGTTTTTTTAGACATATGGTTTTCAATGGGGAATAATTTTTTTCTAACTTAGGATCAGCCTACTTAGTCTAAATAGTCGAGGTCATCTAATGTGAGGTCCAGGAAACGAGCTGTTTCGACAGGCTCGGACCAGATGGAGAGAGGCGTTAAATGTGTTGATATTAGGGGGTATGTAAAGAGGTGGTTGGTGTCGTGCGGAGACCCGTTATACACGTACATACGTTAGGTACTTCGGAATCGAGTCTGGATGTGTAAGATTTGAACCTGCTACAGTATCCAGACCTAAATTGCGCCAGTAGTACGCGGGACTCTCTAGGCAGCTCAAGTTCTTCAACTGCTAGGGAGGATAGTTGACTCCGAGAACGGCAGAGAGAAAGAGTTCTTCAAGTTTTCTTTGTCAGCAGGTAGCAGTAGTCTTTTGAAGTTTGTCTTTCTAGCAGCTCTTCCTTCATTTACACTCAGTTTGGCTTCCTATTAAAAAATGAGCACACTTATATATGTATTTCCAAAATGATGCTTAGCATCTACATTCGGCTTAGCAGAGTAAAAAATTCGTGTAACTATTGATCACTTTCACACAACGTTTACTCTAGTGCATAACTCGCATTTTCCGGAATTTCGTGCAGTATGCACCGTATACGCTATTGCTGCTGTGAAGCATTGTATCTAAGAAGCACCAAATGAGTCCATCTGCCATCGCGCGCAACTCATGCAAAAGTTGAAGCCGAACGAACATCAAGCGCGTCGCACATCTGGCGAATGGGCTCAAAATGAGAGGACCGCTGGCGTCCATGAGGTGCGGTTCGCTCAAAAACTCACCATTTATAGTGCTCTATGTGCAGAGCGAGTCATTGTTGTATATTTCTTCAAAAATGAAGCCAGTCATAAGGTTACAGTCAATGAGGTCGAATGCTGTAGAGACGAAATTTAATGACTTTTTTGTGCCTGAATTGGAGGATATTGATGTGCACGACCTTTGATTCCAATAAATGTCATACAGCCAACGAAACAATTATTTAATTGAAAGAAACTCTTCTTGGGCGCATTATCTCGCGGCGCGGCCCTCAAAATCGTGCGATTTACCACCACAGTACTAGTTTTTGTGGGGTTATATCAAGTCGTTTGGCTGTGCAGATAAACCCGAGACGATTAGCGCCTTGGAAGACTATATTCGGCGCATTAATGCTGAGAATTGCTGCAAAAATTGGTCGGAAATTAAGCCCCTCGGCGGATCTTTTTTCGAGCTGGTCGTAGAGGTCACTTGTCATTTTTGAAATATTATGGCAAACCCTTATCTTTGTAACAAATTCTCGAAATTCTGCATGAAATCCACATGTGTTAAAAAGCACCCTTTGCTGTGTTTCAATGAAAAACTTTATCAATGATTTAGTCTTTACAAACGAGCAACTCACCTGAGCCTTGAAGAGCCTTGTGCCAACCGAAACCGACAATCATCCACTGACCCAATTCGTTACAACAATTTTTGGCTAACTGTAACAAAATAAGAGCAAGAGCAGCATAAAAGTAAATTGAATAAGCGGCGAGAGGGAAAAAAACTTGATAAAAAGGAAAAAAAAATCAAATTAGGGTAAAGTAGAGAGTAAAAATGGCATACTATAACAATATGGCTATCCATTTCTCATATGAGCTACTAATGGAGGTCATTTCTCAATTTTTTCATTATTTATATATATATATTTTTTTTTGGCAGCATAATGTGTCCTAATGTTTTATTTTTTTTTTTTTTGTTTTTTTTTTTGAACTTGGCAACAACAATAAAAAATAAATAAATAGAAAATGAAACACAAAAAGTAAAAGCATACAAAAAGCACAATAAATATTCTACAATCACTGCAAAAGCAACTCTGTGCACTCGAATGTCACATAAAAATGTCCAAAGAACACCGTTAACAATAAAAACAAAATGCCAAACAAACAACCGAAGACCAATAAAATAAGCAAAATGCTTGCAAGAAGCAATAAATAATCAAAAAAAAAGGGAGAAACGGAATGAAAAAAAGGAAAAAAAACTGAAAAAAAATATTAACGAAAAGGTACGCCCAACTAACGGTATGCGAAAAAAATGAAAGTGAAAAGAATTTTATTTAAACGTATCGCGTAGAGTACACCGCTGTAGAAATAACGCAAACACACACACAGTCGTATAAATATATATATGTGCATATTTAAGTGATAAAAAAAATTCGAAAAAAGATTGAAGGCATCTCCACGGCGTTTTGGAGCGCGCCTCTGCGTGGTCCCTTTAAACATACATATTTTTTGTTGTTACACCCTTTATTTCTGTATTTTTTTTTTCTTGTTCTCCTTCGCTGTATTGCCAATAAAGCTGCGTTGTGCCGCAATAAGGCAAAACACTCACGTACAAGCAGGTGGCACGGGTACGCCATAAAAATCGTATTGGCGGCGTGGCACAAAGCGCACTTAAAAATGCAAAAGAGAAAAGGGCGAAAATTCTACATCGCAATAAAAATCTGTATGGGCAACTAAAAATGAATTCAAAGTCAGTTATTTTATGCGTATAAGGCACATATGAATTGGAAGTGGTCGGTACTATCGGCTTTGGGGAGAGTGAAAAGGGGCACTTTTTGTAAAGGCGCCGGCATAATAACGGGAAATTATGACATGTAAACGTTTTGATGTTGCTTGTTGCTACACGGTGTGAAGTTTCAGTTTTCTTTTACAGGGGTTTAAGGGAGTCTACTCATTTTCCCTAGAGTGCAAACTGTTTGTTCATATGCTTTGCCAGGCTGCAGTGATTAAATCGATTGAGTTATATATGTATATGAAGGGTTTCCGTTGATAACGTTTGCCATTTTGAAGGTAATGTCATTGTGACTCTCTCACTCATAGAAACCAAATCCAGATTGAGAAAAGAGTTTCCCTTGAGGTCAATTCTTCATCAGCCAAAGCATTCGCCGTCTGCAGGAACAGATGGTAATCACTTGGTGAAAGGTCTGGACTATAAGGTGGATGCAAAGGAACCTTTCAAGCAAGCTCTCGAAGCTAGTGTAGCGAGTTACTATCGATGAGAGGGGTTTGGAGTTTTTCCAAATGAAACATAAGTCCCCTCCTGTTGGACAGAGCTCAGCACCTTTGGGAGGTTGCTTACTTCAGACGGTTAACTACACTACATAGGTCCAGTTTAAAAGTTAGGCCGTGGACTGCGATAGAGAAACAAACGAGCTTTCTAAGGAGCAACGTCAAGCCCAGCCCATTTCTACTCATTATGTTCATTATGTTTTAATTTAGTTTGAGATTTTATTACTCATTGTTAGGCTTTTCATGTCGAAGGACATCAACCCTAGCTTGGAAACCGTTACAGTTCTTAGATCACGACCGTTTTCGTTTAACGCTTCCTCGTATATATATATTCATAATTGATCTTTATACACCCTGAAGCGATTTTCGGTCCAGGTCGTCTACAGTTTCAGGTGTTTGACTCGATGTATTTTTTCAGTGAATTTTATTCTATGCCGCTTTCGGACAGCATCTTTGATTTCATTTCAGAAACTCACTCGAAGGAGTCGTCATTCTCCGTCGAGAGACGACCGCTGTCCATAGTAAACTTCCAGTTAAATTTTGCATAATTTTGCTGTTAGTCAGTCGACTACTGCAGCCATAAATCGTTCCAGCCGCTTACTGATGGCACCAAGTGAAGCAAGTTTCCACTCACTTCGGACCAATCTTTCCAATGGATTGGAATTCTTACTTACTTACTCCTTCTCTGTGTTCATCGCCGAGTACAGTATCGGAAAGTATCAAAGGGGAGGTGCTTTTGTCAATCCAGACGGCAGGAAGTAGCCGACATAGTTGTTGTTTCCTAAATATTTGAACTATGTCACTGTGATTGCTCCATAATGTACGGTATTCGCCGCTGGCAATGCACCAAAGTTCAAAAAAGTTACAAAAAAAAAATTCTCAAAAATTCCAAATACCACCGGTTGTCCTCAGCGGGACAATAATGATGGAGAACTTTTTCAGTTTAACCCTTGATTTACTTTCCCATTGATTGCTCTGTCCAAATGAAGCACCTTTTGACAAGAGTGATTCCGTATTGGACTTCAAGGTTAACATTGTTTTCGGCGTTGATGATGGTTCTTATATAGACGAAATTTTCTGCGACTGAAAAGTAGTGACTGTCAACAATGACGTGGGAGCACAACGTAAGTACGCTGATCAGAGATATTTCGTCGTATATTCGTTCATTGCCGAAGCCACTCGCTTGCCTTTTTATCTAGTCTGGAGTGTGCAGAGCTTAAACCGAATTCGAGATTATCCTTTAGAAATAATCTGCTGAGATCAGTTGACGAAATTCCCAGTGTCTTACAAATCTTCTCATGGCTGATTTCAGTTGCAGACAGCGTACAAGAAACGATTGGATATTTCAGTAGCGCTTGGAAAAGAAGAAAGTTATCTCATTTATCTTCGATGTTTCTCTTGGGCTTAATCTCGAATGGAAAATTTCTCACCCAGTATGCAGTGTGCTGACCATGGACTAAGCTATTTGAGAGCATACTCGTATTGCAAATAAGCAGAGATTGTTTCACCAATTCTATGTTCATCGATGGCAATATGAGAGGCCTATTAGCACAAGCTTTGGACCGGTCAATTAACCAAAAGTGACTAATACACGTAGCAACATCGTAATAAGTCGAGGGAGCACAGATACGTTAATAAATATTAAGCTCCTTCCTTACGCTTCCATAGTACTAGTGTTACGTGTCGCATCATGCCATACGATACAGCGTTGAAGACGTGATAAACACGCTCAAAGTTTGTCTTTGACAGCTTTTCGATTGATTGACTCAGTACGTTGTGAGCGCTCGTCAAAGATCGACACCAGCAAAGAGAAAATTCGCTAAATTTTAAAATTTTTCTTCGATCAAGGCGTAAAAGCAGCTAAAGCTTCTGAAAAAATTAATTTAGTTTATGGGTCCGATACCGTCAACGAACGTGTAGCACAAAAGTGGTTTGCTAGGTTCCGTTCCGGTAATTTCGATGTCAAAGATGCACCTCGCGTCGGAAGGCCTGTCGTCGAAAATTGCGATAAAATCATAGAAATAGCGGAAACAGACCGTCACGCGAGCACTTATTTAATTGCTGAAGAACTAAACATAAGCCATAGAGCCGTTTGAAACCTTTTGCATAACCTGGGATTCAAAAAGAGGCTCGATGTTTGGGTGCCACACCAACTAACGTAAAAAAAACATGATGGACCGAATTTCCAACTGCGAGTCGCTGCTGAATCGCAACAAAATCGACCCATTTCTGAAGCGGATTGCAACTAACGATGAAAAATGGGTCACTCATAACAGCGTCGAGCGTAAAACGTCGTGTTCAAAGCTCTGGGAAGTGGCCCAGAAGGTGGCCAAGACCGGATCGATTGGCCAGGAAGGTTTTGCTGTGTGTTTGGTGGGGTTGGGAAGGAATCATCTACTACGAGCTGATCCCCTCTGGCCAAATGCTCAATTTGGCCCTCTACTGCCAATAAATGGACCGCTTGAAGGCAGCACTCATCCAGATGAGGCCAACTTGGATCAACAGAGGCCGAATTTTGTTCCATCAGGACAACGGCAGGCCACACACGTCTTTGGTGACGCGCCAGAAGCTCCAGGAGCTCGGCTGGGAGCTGTTAATGCACCCACCTTATATTCTGGACCTGGCACCAAGTGATTACCATCTTTCCCTGCCCATGGCGAACGCGCTTAATGGTGAGATGTTGTCCTCAAGGGAGGCCTGTGAATATTGTCTCTCCGAGCTTTTTACCAATAGGGACACAGCGTGCTACGAGAGGGGTATAATGAGGTTCGCACCTCTTTGGCAATAAATAAGTCAACAACGATAAATTCGTAATGATTGGCATAAAGGCGAAACTTACTTCAATTTCCATATCAACTTTGTTTCTATACCGCAGTAGAACACTTCTTGTCGTATCAGTTACTTTGGATATGTTGAAGCAACTTCCCCTCGCTACACTCTTCTCAGTTACAAATATCGGGTTCTTATCACGAGGTTGGCAACCAAGGCAATGAATTTATGCGAAAGGCAAAGACTCTAGTTCACATCTGTGGCGAAGAGTCAGCAGAACACATGCTCTGTGAGCGCCCGGTTCACAAAGGCTGACCTTACCTGGTATGAAAAAGAAGAACCTAATTATCGGTACTCATGTACTAAGAGCTAAAAGAGCAGCAATTTTTTTGTTTAAATTCAGACACAACAGAAAGTTGGGGTCGTTTGTACTGTATCTGGTATCTGAAAATACTATGCACGTGCTTAGGTTCTCCAATGGGACACTCACTTTAACATAACCTCACCTTTTGCAAAACGGACTTTGCACAAGAGCAATTTCAGTGCTTATTTTTTAATAAACAATACTTTTTCATATTTCATTGCAGTGTCTGTAATCGAAACCGAAATCTAGTACGATCAATCAAAGTATGCTCGTAACAAAAAAAAAAAATTAATAAAAA